CCCGAATCAGAAGTTTCCTTCCCCTGGAATGAATGTTTTGGCCAAGGGTGACACACACGGGTTATAATGGCAATTAAAGGTTAATTTCCCACATCTGTGGCTTTTTAAATTGCACTTAGTGCCTGGGTATAGTCAATGTGTTAGTTCTAACGTGGATGCACTGAGCAGGCTAGACACTGAGCCATGGGGAGCAGAAAAGAACTGTTAAAAGCCCTTCATAACAAGGTAATGGAACGTTATAGAGATGGAAAAGGATATAAAAAGATATCCAAAGCCCTGAAAATGCCAGAATATGCTGTTCAATCATTTATTAAGAAGTAGAAATTATAGGGGCAGCTCTACCACCTGTTGGAATTCGGGGACCTCATAGACAACTATTACAGAAGACTGACCCCTGTCATTGATACTCAAGGGGGCAATGCACAGGATTAATAACCAAGGGGATGCAGACTTCTGAACAGGGGGCATTTCATTGGTTTACTTGGTGCCATGTTCTGTTTTCTGATTGGGCCATTCTGTTACCACCTCCAGTCACAGAATATGAATCCCATAAGAAATAGAAGAAATGGGTTTTGCCGGCTCACTCACGTTTTCTTTAAAAATGGTACAAACTGTAAATTACCGATTCTACCGATTCTAAGGGGTGGCAATTGTATTTTTAAAAAAAATTTCCACCATTCTTTCTGCTTCAAATGAAATTTACAAAGAAATGGCCAAAAACAGACACACAAAAAAATGACATATTTCCTAGCACAAACATAAACAAAGTTCCAGCTGCCATATGTAAACAAAGGCCTGGCTGCTATATGGAAACAAATTCCCGGTTGTTCTATCGTTGTTTAATCTACCAAGTGCTGGAAGTATACTGCCGGTGCACATTTACGGTGGCGATTCTAGCCCTAGACCGACTGGGTATGCAAAATAAAAGGGGGATGGTAGCAGAGGGAGCAGGGGAACAAAGGAGGCTTGCAGAATAATTACTACGGGAGGGAACGTTCTTCTGCCGGCTATCATTGGGGCCATTTAAGAGCATCGGTGCACTTAGTGGCAGCCCAAGTTAACCTGAATGTAGTATAGGTGCACTCTAAGTTTGGAATAAGTGCGGTATAGGGTGCAAGTATGGGTGAGGTATGGATTGGGTACCCTTGGCGCCCTGCTCAGAGTGGCTCAATCCCTTCTAGCACTATCAGCAATGGGCGAATAGCCCTCTCACCAGTCCCCAGGATGCTGCTGTGACCTCTCACTGTAGAAGGGGGTCCCCCTTGGTCTCTCCCAGAATGTCTCCAGTGATCAGCGGTGGGACGCAGAGGATGAGTAGACGCTCCGATCTCGCTGTGGTGGTAGTGGTGTTGGTGCTGGGATTTGGGTGGTGCTGCGCTGCCCCTGGGTGCACTCCCTCCCAAAGAATAACCTCCTGCACTCTACTTGGCTAGATTGCAGGTATAGTGCAAATCGTCTTTCTGCCCCCTCAGGACTGTGGGGGTCCTTTCATGTACTACAAAACAAAAACAAAGAGAGGGCGCTCCGACTTAACGCATTATCATAGCAAAATTTTATTAGAAATATTACAAGTCATATACTTACAAATGCATGACATGCACTAGCGCAGGGGTGTCAAACTGGCGGCCCTCCAGCTGTTGGGAAACTACAAGTCCCATCATGCCTCTGCCTGTGGGAGTCATGCTTGTAACTGTCAATCTTGCAATGCCTCATGGGACTTGTAGTTTGGCAACAGCTGGAGGGCCACCAGTTTGACACCCGTGCACAAGCATATTAAAGTATTCAAAATGAGACTGCCTCCATGTCCACAGTGCTCAGCTGATGGTATGGGAAGACCTCATAGCGTCCCAACGGCTAATGTGTTTCGAGGATCTCTGAGGGTCAGGGTTCTGAGGAAGAGGACTTCGACCCTCGAAATGCGTTAGTTGTTTGGACAATGTGAGGCAATTTTTAGCAAAATTTTGCTTATCCCTACAGTCAAGCTAAAGATAAGTATACCGGAATTCATGTAACATGGGGGGTGACCTCCTACTTGGGGTGGCTTCCTTCTGAGGTCCATCCACCAGCTGAATCCTGCCTCCTTATTTTCCATTTGGCCCTAATGAGAAGCCAGCGTGTTCCTTGATTCCAGCCCCGCCCACATGAACAGAAACATTGGAATGGGGGTAGCAGAGCGCAGAATCAGAGAACATACCTGCGGCCCATAAGCACTGTGAGAAGCCTGCTCGATTTGGCTGTAAAGGACTATACAAGGATTATACCTGAATAGAGTTAGGTCACTGGTTGCCTTTTTTAGCTCCTCCTCTCTGAGGACCTGTTCTCACCAGCGGGTATGCGTGCAATACAGCGTCTACACTTCACTCAAGTCTATGAACAACAGCATGCTGCGACTCCCTGCACTGACGCCTCACCACCTCTCTCCTTGGACCCTATTCCCTCTCAAATACTGTGATCACCCTACACTCTCTAAGTCACGCCTTCAATCTCTCCCTCTCTTCTGACATCTTCCCCAACCCTCCAAACGTCACCACCATACTTGAAAAGCTTTTTCCTTGGACCCCACCAATCCTAACAACCTACGCCCCATCTCCTTGCTCCCATTTTCCTCCAAAATCCTTGAACGTCTGGTCTACAACCAACTGCGTGACCACCTCATTAACCACTTCCAGTCCGGACGATTTCCCCCCCTTCCAGTTCGGACGCTTTCCCCCCCCCTTCCAGTCCGGACGCTTTCCCCCCTTCCAGTCCGGACACTTTCACCCCCCCCCCTTCCAGTCCGGACGCTTTCCCCCCCCTTCCAGTCCGGATACTCCTCCCCCTTCCAGTCCAGACACTTTCACCCCCTTCCAGTCCGGACGCTTTCCCCCCCTTCCAGTCCGGACGCTTTCACCCCCCTTCCAGTCCGGACGCTTTCCCCCCCCCTACCAGTCCGGACGCTTTCCCCCCCCTACCAGTCCGGACGCTTCCCCCCCCCCCCCCCCTCCAGTCCGGACGCTTCCCCCCCCCCCCTTCCAGTCCGGACGCTTCCCCCCCCCCCCCCCCCCCTTCCAGTCCGGATGCTTTCCCCCCCCTTCCAGTCCGGACGCTTTCTCCCCCCTTCCAGTCCGGACGCTTTCCCAGTGTCAGAATGCCCGCTGCAGTCCCGCTATAAGTCGCTGATTGCCGCCATTATTAGTATATAAAAGAAAAATCCCAGTATCTATACCGCCATTTGTAGACGTTGTAACTTTCATGTAAACCAATTAATTTACACATATTGGGGTTTTTTCTTAGCAAAGACATGGAGCAGAATACACTTTGGCCTAAATTTATGACAAAATTCTTTAAATCTTTTTACTGGATGTGTGTGTTTTATAGCAAAATGTCAGAAATATTGTTTTTTTTTTCTTCAAAATTGTCGCTTTTTTTTATAGCGCAAAAAATAACTGCACCGGCGATCACATACCACCGAAAGAAAGCTCAATTTGTTGGGAACAAAGGACGTAAAATTTATTTGGGTGTGACGTTGCATGACCGCGCAATTGTCAGTTAAACTAACGCAGCGCCGTTTTTCGCAAATAATGGCCTGGTCAGGAAGGGGGGGGAGGGGGAATTCTCAGAAGCGTGAGGGGTCAAAAAGCAGCATGTCTGCACATGTACAGTGTGAACAGGACACCTGGATATCTATTGCTTTCTTAGGGATGTATTTGTAAAAAGTCAGCGTAGCTGTTGTCCTGTGGAACGGGATGTACATTCCTTCTGTGTGAATGGAGGAAAATCGAAGGTTATTAGGCTATTTTTTTCTAGGAAAATACCTCATTATGGCCACTGGATGGTGCTGGCGACCCATGGGAAATAATTGGTGTAAGTGCTATCGTCAGCTCCATCTAGTGGCCATAAATAAATCCTGCAAAATGCTATCGTGAGCTCCATCTAGTGGCCTTAAATGCTACTCTCAGCCCCATCTAGTAGCCATAAATAAATCCTACAAATGTTATCATCCCCATCTAGTGGCCATAAATAAATCCTTCAAATGCTATCTTCATCTCCATCTAGTGGCCATAAATAAATCCTGCAACATGTTATCCTCATCCCCATCTAGTGGCCATAAATAAATCCTGCAACATGTTATCCTCATCCCCATCTAGTGGCCATAAATAAATCCTGCAAATGCTATCGTCATCCCCATCTAGTGGCCATAAATAAATCCTGCAACATGTTATCCTCATCCCCATCTAGTGGCCATAAATAAATCCTGCAAATGTTATCTTCATCCCCATCTAGTGGCAATAAATAAATCCTGCAACATGTTATCATCATCCCCATCTAGTGGCCATAAATAAATCCAGCAACATGTTATCCTCATCCCCATCTAGTGGCCATAAATAAATCCAGCAACATGTTATCCTCATCCCCATCTAGTGGCCATAAATAAATCCTGCAACATGTTATTGTCATCCCCATCTAGTGGCCATAAATAAATCCTGCAAATGCTATCATCAGCCCCATCTAGTGGCCATAAATATTGTTATTATTATACAGGACTTATATCGCTCCAACAGTTTGCTCAGCGCTTTACAATATAACGGGAGACAATACAGCAACAATACAGTTCAATACAAGAGGGTTAGGAGGGCCCTGATCCTGGGAGCTTACAATCTAAGAGGGAGGGGCTAGTGGTACAAAAGGTAGTAACTGTGGGGGATGGACTGGTTGGAAGAGTAGAAGTTTCCATTATTAGCTGAGGGCAGGATAGGCTTCCCTGGAGAGATAGGTTTTCAGAGATCACCTAAAAGTGGGCAGAGTAGGCGATAGTCAGATAAACTGGGGTATAGAGTTCCAGAGGATGGGGGAAGCTCTGGAGAAGTCCTGGAGATGAGCATGGGAGAGTAGGAGGTTGTGCGAGGAGAGGACAATTTGGGTGATATTTGGAGACAAGATTGGTGATAAAATTTGGGGCGGAGTTATAAATGGCTTTATATGTTATTGTTAATGTTTTGCATTTTATCCATTGGGCAACGGGAAGCCAGTGGAGGGATTGGCAGAGAGGGGTGGAGGACACTGAATGGAGGCCAGTGGAGGGATTGGCAGAGAGGAGTGGAGGACACTGAATGGAGGCCAGTGGAGGGATTGGCAGAGAGGAGTGGAGGACACTGAATGGAGGCCAGTGGAGGGATTGGCAGAGAGGAGTGGAGGCCAGTGGAGGGATTGGCAGAGAGGGATGGAGGCCAGTGGAGGGATTGGCAGAGTGGGTGGAGGCCAGTGGAGGGATTGGCAGAGAGGGGTGGCAGATACAGAATGGTTAGTAAGGTGGATGAGTCTAGCAGCAGCATTCATGATAGACTGAATAGGGGATAGCCTGCGATGAGGTCGGCCAATGAGGAGGGAGTTACAATAGTCAAGGCGAGATATAACAAGGGAGGGAATACGTTTCTCAGTGGTTTCCGAGGTTAAGAACGGGCGTATCTTGGAGATGTTGCGGAGGTGAAGTCTACAAGATTTGGACAGCGATTGGATTTGGGGCTGAAAGGACAGATAGGAGTCTAGGATTACACCTAGTACCCTGGTATGAGGGGAGGGACTGATGGACGTATTATTGATCTTGATGTAGAAGTCAGGGGAGGGGCCACGGGCTGGGGGGGATACTAAGAGCTCAGTTTTGGAAAGATTGAGTTTGAGGAAGTGGAGTGACATCCATGCCGATATGTCACTTAGTAGGATAGTAATGCGAGAGGAGACTGAAGGGGTGAGGTGAGGAGGAGACTGAAGGGGTGAGGTGAGGAGGAGACTGAAGGGGTGAGGTGAGGAGGAGACTGAAGGGGTGAGGTGAGGGGTAGAAAGATAGATTTGTGTGTCATCAGCATGGAGATGGTACTTAAGGCCATGGGAGTTTATCAAGTGACCAAGGGAGGAGGTGTAGATGTAGAAGAGTAGGGGTCCAAGGACAGAACCTTGAGGGACCCCTACAGAAAGAGGGAGTGGAGAGGAGGAGCCAGAGTTATAGGTAACGCTGAAGGAATGCTGCGATAGGTAGGAGGAGAACCAGGAGAGAGTAGAGTCTCACAGGCCAAGAGAGTGAAGTTTTTTGAGAGGGGATGGTCAACAGTATCAAAAGCCGCAGAGAGGTCAAGTAGTAAGAGTACAGAGTATTGGCCATTGGTAGGGATGAGAACGGGGTAGTGGCCATTGGTTGGGATGAGTACGGAGTAGTGGCCATTGGTTGGGATGAGTACGGAGTAGTGGCCATTGGATGGGATGAGTACGGAGTAGTGGCCATTGGCTGGGATGAGCATGGAGCAGTGGCCATTGGATGGGATGAGTACGGAGTAGTGGCCATTGGTTGGGATGAGTACGGAGTAGAGGCCATTGGTTGGGATGAGTACGGAGTAGTGGTCATTGGTTGGGATGAGTACGGAGTAGTGGCCATTGGTTGGGATGAGTACCGAGCAGTGGCCATTGGTTGGGATGAGTACGGGGTATTGACCATTGGTTGGGATGAGTACGGAGTAGTGGCCATTGGCTGGGATGAGTACGGAGCAGTGGCCATTGGTTGGGATGAGTACGGAAAAGTGACCATTGGTTGGGATTAGTACGGAGCAGTGGCCATTGGTTGGGATGAGTACGGAGTAGAGGCCATTGGTTGGGATGAGTATGGAGCAGTGACCATTGGTTGGGATTAGTACGGAGTAGAGGCCATTGGTTGGGATTAGTACGGAGTAGTGACCATTGGTTGGGATGAGTACGGAGTAGTGACCATTGGTTGGGATTAGTGCGGAGTAGTGGCCATTGGTTGGGATGAGTACAGAGTAGTCACCATTGGTTGGGATTAGTGCGGAGTAGTGTGACCATTGGTTGGGATTAGTGCGGAGTAGTGACCATTGGTTGGGATGAGTGCGGAGTAGTGGCCATTGGTTGGGATGAGTACGGAGCAGTGGCCATTGGTTGGGATGAGTACGGAGCAGTGGCCATTGGTTGGGATGAGAACGGAGTAGTGGCCATTGGTTGGGATTAGTACGGAGTAGTGGCCATCGGTTAGGATGAGTACGGAGTAATGGCCATCGGTTGGGATGAGTACGGAGCAGTGGCCATTGGTTGGGATGAGTATGGAATAGTGGCCATTGGTTGGGATGAGTACGGAGCAGTGGCCATTGGTTGGGATTAGTACGGAGTAGTGGCCATCGGTTAGGATGAGTACGGAGTAATGGCCATCGGTTGGGATGAGTACGGAGCAGTGGCCATTGGTTGGGATGAGTATGGAATAGTGGCCATTGGTTGGGATGAGTACGGAGCAGTGGCCATTGGTTGGGATGAGTACGGAGTAGTGGCCATCGGTTAGGATGAGTACGGAGTAATGGCCATCGGTTGGGATGAGTACGGAGCAGTGGCCATTGGTTGGGATGAGTATGGAGTAGTGGCCATTGGTTGGGATGAGTACGGAGCAGTGGCCATCGGTTGGGATGAGTACGGAGCAGTGGCCATCGGTTGGGATGAGTACGGAGCAGTGGCCATCGGTTGGGATGAGTACGGAGTAGTGGCCATTGGTTGTGATGAGTACGGAGCAGTGGCCATTGGTTGGGATGAGTACGGAGCAGTGGCCATTGGTTGGGATGAGTACGGAGTAGTGGCCATTGGTTGGGATGAGTACGGAGTAGTAGCCATTGGTTTTAGCAGTTAGTAGATCATTAGTGAGGTTTAGTAGGGCAATGTCAGTGGTGTGGAGTGGGCGAAAGCCAGACTGTGAAGGGTGAAGAAGGTTGTTGTCGGTGAGGGAGGAGCTCAGGCGATTGTAGACTAAGAGTTCTAAGAGTTTAGAGGTAAATGGCAGCAGGGAGATGGGTCTTCAGTTGTTCAGGTTGGTGGGGTCCAGGGAGGGCTTGTTAAGTATGGGAGTGATGTGTGCGTGCATTAGAGGGGAGGGGAAGGCACCAGTAGAGAGGGAAAGATTGAAAATGTGAGTGAGGAAGCATAGGATGGAAGAGGAGGGTGACCGTAGTAGTAGTGTGAGGGGACAGGATCCAGGGGGCACATGGTGAGACGGGCCCCATCCAATGGCCATAAATAAATCCTGCAAAATACTATAGTCAGCTCCATCTAGTGGCCATAATGCAGACCACTCTATTTCAATGAAGGAATATCTTCGACCCGCAGAGACGGTAGCCTAATAACATGAAATTTTGCTCCGATTCGCACAGATGGAATGTACATGCAGGACAGACAGCTCTGTATTTTTTTTTATCAATGCACCCCCTATGTTGAGCCTGCGTTCATCAATGCTGATCATTGCAGTTTTACAGACCTGGTGAGAATGAACCCCCAAAAGCTAAGGGCTCGTTCACACAGTTGGCAGTAAATATAGGCAGTTAAACTTTGATTCAACCGCCCCACTTAAGCTGCAAAGGCATCTAGATGGGGTTGTGCACTTGCTGGGGTTGTGGTTCCCTGTTGCAAAAATCACACGCTCTGTCGTATTTGGTGGTGGTGCTGCACGTGTATGGGACCGTGCTGTAGCCCCATGCATTGCCTGCAGTTGTAGCGTGGTGGTGTGGGGTTTTAGGGGTTCCCAGACGCTCTCTGAAAAGCGACCCACCACCCTACCATTTAGGTACATAGTTAGTCTGGCTGAAAAAAGACAAAAGTCCATCCAGTTCAACCATAAAAAAAAGTTATAATCCTACACCCACAGTTGATCCAGAGGAAGGCAAAAAAAAAAAAAAATATGCCATACATAAAATAGATAAACGGTCACAGCAAGGGTCTCAATCTGGGGGCGCACTCTAAAAATCATCCATGCGACTCTACTTATCGACCAGAGCACATCACCACAAGAGCAATGAGGGGGTTACGCTGGTCAGACGCATGTCATGTAGTTTGGATTGGGGACGTGCAACCCCGGGTGACAACTGTGCATCAGTTAAAGGGCCGGTGTCACCCGGGCAAAGGACGCATGGACAGGTGTTGGTATCCAGTCAGGAGGTGTGCAAAGCAGACAGCATTGACTGTAAGGGGTACAGCGGGACAAGAAAACATATTCATGATATACGCTTTAAGAAGCCGCCATATTTCCGTAGGCAATGAGAGGCTCCCTGGCTGTCTGTGCCTTTACACAGCCCCTATCTGCCGGTGCCCCCTAGTGACTGGTAGGGGCATCTCACCCGTGTATAGACCGGCATCCCAGCTATGTGTCACATGATCAGGGTAAATGCCATTCCCTGTGTACAGTAAACACGTTGTATCACCCTGGGGTTTGTGTCCAAACACCGAAACTGCTTCCACCTGTCACAATATTCCACCCGTCACCCAGACCGCCATCACGCTTCTTTATTTACTACTCCTGTCACCAGAAATTGGGACTTTAATGCCAGAGGACCACCCGGGGACCCCACCGAAGGGGAGAGAACGGGAGCCGCCCAGCCACCCGAAATCTGTGCCGGCATCCATAAAAAGGCTTCGTTCTGTATACGGATTACTGCATGAAATTTTATATATATATTTAAAAAACTTAAAAAAAACTTTTTTTAAAAAAAATATAAAAAAAGAGTAAAAAAATAAACGAAACAAAATATATAATTATAACAAACATATAAACAAATAAAACACAACAATGCAAACGAGTAAATAATACAAAAAAGAAAATAAGTGCATAAAATCATTAAGAAAAATAATTAAAAATTAAAAAAATACACAAATAATACAATAAAAAAGAAAAAAAACAAATTCATAAATAAATAATATAATAAATAATTCAATGAATAAAATAAAACACGTGCTCTGTATATACAGACACTACATATAATCCATCTCTGTATATACAGACACTACATATAATCCATCTCTGTATATACAGACACTACATATAATCCATCTCTGTATATACAGACTCTATATATAATCCATCTCTGTATATACAGACACTACATATAATCCATCTCTGTATATACAGACACTACATATAATCCCGGCTCTGTATATACAGACACTACATATAATCCATCTCTGTATATACAGACAATATATATAATCCATCTCTGTATATACAGACACTACATATAATCCATCTCTGTATATACAGACACTACATATAATCCATCTCTGTATATACAGACACTATATATAATCCATCTCTGTATATACAGACACTACATATAATCCATCTCTGTATATACAGACACTACATATAATCCATCTCTGTATATACAGACACTACATATAATCCCGGCTCTGTATATACAGACACTTTATATAATCCATCTCTGTATATACAGACACTACATATAATCCATCTCTGTATATACAGACACTACATATAATCCATCTCTGTATATACAGACACTACATATAATCCCGGCTCTGTATATACAGACACTACATATAATCCATCTCTGTATATACAGACACTACATATAATCCCGGCTCTGTATATACAGACACTACATATAATCCATCTCTGTATATACAGACACTACATATAATCCATCTCTGTATATACAGACACTACATATAATCCCGGCTCTGTATATACAGACACTATATATAATCCATCTCTGTATATACAGACACTACATATAATCCCGGCTCTGTATATACAGACACTACATATAATCCCGGCTCTGTATATACAGACACTACATATAATCCCGGCTCTGTATATACAGACACTTTATATAATCCATCTCTGTATATACAGACACTACATATAATCCATCTCTGTATATACAGACACTACATATAATCCATCTCTGTATATACAGACACTACATATAATCCATCTCTGTATATACAGACACTACATATAATCCCGACTCTGTATATACAGACA